CTTTAAAAGCTGCTTGTTTTGGGTTAAACTGTGCTTGGGGGAAAAGGTACTGCGTTTGAGTTGAAACCTGCTTCTGTAGAAATGTGCATAGGGGTACTTGCTTTAAAAGCTGTCTGCAAAGCCTTTCAGACCAGCGCCGATCAGCTGTTAGGTGGGGAGAGGGGAGTGGAAAGGAGCAGAGAAGAGTATGGAGAAGAGCACAAAATGGCTGCCGGCTGCCTGCTGGCTTTTAGCTGTTTAGGGCTCTTTTTTGGCTGTTCTGGGGTCTACCAAGGCACTGTGAAGAGCAAGGCTCAGTGTACAGTACCTGGTAAGTGACTTTCTTTTAAGTTTTTAAAAGTTTCTGACCTTCCCCCCCCCCCAATAAAAATGCATTAATTAATTTTCAATGCATTTTTATGGGAAATTTGGATTCAACTTGCAAACTTTTCAACTAGTTCTGGGCATCTAATAGAGAATGTACTTCCAAAGGGTGCTGCAGCAAGGAAACTAACTGTGCCTTGTGACTTCTAACTGGATTACAGTACCTGCTTCCTGATTTCAGCTACTATAGTTTGTATTCAGTTTTTTTGGCTCTTCAAGAACATTGTTCATGGCTTTGTGTGGCCTAACCTGTTGTGCCTTGCATGCTATAAACGTTCAATTATGTCAGAAAATGGAGATTTGGTCTTATGCTGAGCATGTGCTACTGCTGGTGAACGGGATTAGGTTAGAAGTACAGAAGGAAAAGCCCCCAAAATAAGGAAGGTTATGGCCACACTGTGAGAGATAGAGGAGATAGAGACTGACAGACAGGGAAAATAAGTAAAGAAGGATGGGTCAAGACCATTATGTGAGGCAGGAAGTGCTCCAGTAGGGGAGGACAAGTTGCTTGAAAAGGAAGAGATGTTGGAGAAGTGGATGAGTCCAAAGAAAAGGTGGGAACTGAGAGGTGTAGGGGTGCAGAGCTATATAAAAAAAAGCAGTCAGAGTGAGAATTGGCAGAAGTAGGTGAGGTAGAAGTGAAAAAGGAAAGAAAAATACTTGCCCAGGATGGGAGTGATATTGGATGAATAATCCCTGGACCAAACATGAGGAAGCAGAGCATAAAAGGAGAGAGGAGAAGCCAGAGAAACTCATACTAGGGAGAAAAAGAGGCCCAAGAGTGGGGAAGAAAGATTAGAGAAGAACGGGCAAAGCTAGCTTGTGAGAGCGGAGGAAGCGCAAGATGGCAGACCCCACCGGGAATGGCACATCACAAAACCCAGGACACTGGGAATTCTTGGAACCGGGAACAAGGATGCCAAGAATCGAGCCCTGAGATGACTAAAGAGTTTGGTGAACCCTCAAATGCAGGAACAGGTTTTGGCAATGAGTAAAATGATTAAAAGATGAAGCCAAATATTAGTAATTTGATCAATTTCAACCTCTCACTAGAAAATTATCATCAATGAAGCTAAGGAATTAATACAAATTACAGTGGTGCCTCGCATTGCGATGTTAATTCATTCCAGCGAAATTGCTGCTAAACGAAAATGTCGCAATGCGAAAATAAAAAGCCCATAGAAACGCATTAAAACGCGATTAATGCGTTCCTAGGGGCTTCAAACTCACCATTCAGCGAAGATCCTCCATAGCGTGGCCAGTTTCGCTGCCTGTTAAGCGAGGAATCTGTCCCCAAAAACAGCAGACGGCCATTTTGAAACTGGCGATCAGCTGTTAAAAAAGCATTGCTTTGCGATGATTGGTTCCCCAAGCAGGGAACCGATCATGGCAAAGCGAAATGCCACTGCCAGCCAGCCCTGGACGATGCCCGGCCTCCTTGGCAGGGCTCTCCCAGGGCGCAGACGGGTGGGCCAGAGGGGCGGGACGCGTCCGGGCCACTGCCTGGGCAGCCGCGGGGCAAACACACACTGCTCGGGGCGTGGGGCCTCTCCCTCCTGGGCCTCTCCTCGGTCCTTGGCGCTCCCAAAACCAGCGAGCCTTTCCAGGGTTGGCCTGCAGACAGGGCATCGGCTGCCCACAGCGCTCGGCTCCAGCCTCTGCCTCCGCCCCCCTCCTGCCTGCAGCCTCCAGGGTTTGTCCGCCTTGGACAGCTAGCAGTGGGAGGAGGGCTCGGAGGCAGGCAGCAGCCCGGGGCGGGAAGGGGCGCGCCACCCACCGCCAGCCAGCCCCGCATGATGCCGCGGCCATTTTCGCTGTTCGGTAAGGGAGCAATCTGTCCCAGAAACAGCGGGTGACCATTTTGAAACCGCCAGTCAGCTGTTATAAAAGCATTGCTATGATCGGAACTGATCATAGCAAAGCGAAATTCCACTGCCAGCCAGCCCCGCACAATGCCCGGTCTCCTTGGCGGGGCGCAGATGGGGCAAGGAGGGGGTCTCTGGTGCGCCGCCCCCCGTCCAGTGCTGCCGCCCTGATCCTGGTCCCTGGCGGGCGCCTCCTCCTTTGCAACTGCGCCCCCCAGCACTGCCGCCCTGATCCCCGTCCCCAGCGGGTGCCTCCTCCTTTGCACTCTGGCTGCGCGCGGGGATCGAGGCCAGGCCCTTCGCCCCTCCTTCCGCCGATCAGCTGTTGGAGAAGCGTTGCTTTGCCATGATTGGTTCCTCAAGGAACCGAACATCGCAAAGCGAAATTCCCCCATAGGGAACATCGCAAAGCGATCGCAAAAACGATCGCAAAATCTTCATCGCAAAGCGATTTCATCGTTATACGAAGCAATTGCTATGCGAGGCACCACTGTATTCTACAATTTATAACAGGCAAAAAGTGCTTTTACTTACAGAAGGAGTTGCTTCTAGAAAAAAACTTATGCAGTGACAATGATACAGGAATATAATCTCTCCCATAGGGTAAAAAAACAAAACAAAACATCCCAGCTTATTCACAGAGCAACAGTAATATTAAGGGGGGGGGGAGGCCCAACAGGTGATTCCTTTAGGTTTTAGCAGGAATTAAGAATTTAAAAACATCTACTGAATATTTAATTTTTAATTTTAAAAGACAGTATGAAAAAAACACATTACTTCCTGACTGAGAAGAGGTAGCCATGTCAGTCTGTGTGAGCATATCAGATAGAAGAAAAAAAATCAAGAAGACGAAAATGTTATGGCATCTTAAAAACTAACTGCTATATTTTAATGAGTATTTTCATGAACAAGTCTGCTTCCTCAGATGTAAGAGATTTCTGTAGGAAGCTCACATTAAAATATAGCAGTTAATCTTCAAGATGCCACAGTATTTTTGTTTTCTTGACTTTTTATTTTTCTTGTTTTTGCCTGATATTACTTCCTGATTGTGGTACAGAAACCACCCTTCAGATTTTACTATCCTTTCTACTTTACACAGATAGTTTATTCAACAATTACTACAATGTTATAACCTACTCATTACTACAGTGAACCATGGCCCCCAATTTTACTAGATTGCTGGAGTAATGGAAGTTCCTATATAACTATACATTGACGTAAAAGTAGACAGTGAGGAATAAATAATAATCATGTGCTACCAAGTCAATTCTGATTTATGGTGACTCTTTTCAGGGTTTTCCAGGTAGAGGATGCTCAGAACTGGTTTACTATTCCTTTCATTGGGGGCATCCTGGTACTGAGTAGCTTGCCCATGGCCACATAGCCTGGCTCTACTTTCAGAAGGTGCTGTGTAAAAGCAAACTCCCAAAACCTCTGGCTCGGCAGCCAGAAACCTAAACCACTGAACTATCTAAAAAGCTTACAGTGAAGAAAGCTGACTGAAAAAACTTAAGTGTTTGGAGGAGCTTTATGAATACAAGAAACAAATAAATGGATTCTAGATCAAATCAAGTCTGGAATCTTACCATTAGCTAAAATGTCTAAACTGAGACATTTTTTTCATACTTTGGATGAAAAGAAAGAAAATACAATAATATTAGGGGGGAGATGGAAAGCAGCAGAAAAAGAGATAGATTGATTCAACCAAAGAAGCCACTATCTTCAGTTTGCAAAAACTGAGCTAGATTTTTAATGGTAGACCCTTTGAAAGTACAAAAATTCAGTGTTGCCAGAATTCCAAAATGATCTAACAGTACATACTAATTCCATTTATTTAATAGTAATTTTTATTCAGTTTCTAAAGTAATATTCATTAAATTAAACACTTCCTTTACCGTAAATGCTTAACTGAAAGAATTCTCATGCAAAGGAATACATACCTCGTCATGACAGTTTGCCTGTCAGGACGTACATCTAGTAATATCTTCATTATTTGCGGCTCAAATCCCATGTCCAGCATTCTATCAGCTTCATCCAACACCTGTGCAAAACAATCAAGTACCACTGACTCCACTATTAAACTATCAGGTTTCTGATATTCTACATCAAAATATTAGCTTTTCAGTTACTTGTGGCATATGTACTTTCATTTCACAGATATATTATCACTGGGTTGCATCAACAGTATATGTTCACCAGAAAATCAGCATCTGCTTGTGGAATACTCTGTTACTCTTTTATAAACCAGATCAGATTTCAAGGTTCAGGAGGGGGACGGAAGCCATTGCTATTGTGTTCAATTTTTTTTAACACAATCCATTAGCAGCTTGCTATTTTCACTCAAAATCCAGCTTCTGGGATGCTCAACAAGATGTAACCTAAGCCAAACATCCCATTCACATTCTGAAGAAGTTTCAAAGACACTGAATACTGTATTGCAAAACCAACGTCAAACCTATACATCAGACAAAACAAATGCCTGGATGACATGTACAGTGGTGCCTCGCAGAACGGTCGCTCTGTAGAGTGACGAATCCGCGCAACGGTGCCATTTTTGCAATCGCAAAACGGCACCTAGATAGGGCAAGACTCACAGAGCGAAGGTCGGTAAGCGGTTCGCTTACCGACCTTCGCTTTGTGACCCTCCAATCAGCTGTTCCGCGGCTTCAAAATGGTCGCCGGAATAGCTGAAAGGGCCGGGCGCAGCGTTTTCGCGCCCTTGGTAAGCGAGGGGAGGGCACGAAAACGCTGCCGGAACAGCCGAAATGGCTGCGCGCGTTTTCGCGCCCTCCCCTCGCTTACCAAGGGTGCGAAAACGCTGCACCCGGCCCTTTTGGCTGTTCCGGCGGCCATTTTGGACCCGCCGGACAGCTGATCGCAGCGTTTTCGCGCCCTCGTTCAGCGAGGGGAGGGCGCGAAAATGGCTGCCAGCATCGTTGAACGGTGAGTATTCAGCCCAATTGGAACACATTAAACACTGTTTAATGCGTTCCAATTGGTTTTCTTGCCCCGTTCAATAATGCTTTCACACAGCGAGGGTTAATCCGGAACGGATTAACCTTGCTGTGCGAGGCACCACTGTATTTGTTTAAGAAGGATATTGCACACTGATCCTGTAACAAGGGCCAAGATCCAAACATGAACATATGAAAACTACATTAATGAAAAAGCCTTGTAACTTTCCTGTTCTAATGGAAAGGAACAATGCTCCAACTTTTGTCAGACATATCACGAAGTACACCTGGACACTGAAGCTGTCCTAACTTCATTTATAAGATTCTGAAATCAGACAGTCTGTTCTCAGGCTTGGTGTGGAAATAAAGCCAGAAGATTTTAATGAGGTTAATTATATACCTTTGAAAAGTGTCTTAAGAGTGTACAGAACCACCTACAGCAAGCAGACTGCTTGTACTATATAACCAAAACTGAATTAATCAGTTCTGTCCCTTGTTCTAGCTCTGTTTCCAGCAGCCAGAATCTAGGTAACTTGCTCAGCCAACTGTCCACTCTATCCTTGATGTTGTTAAATGCCAGATCTGCCTTGAACAAAGCCCAACTAATTCAAGACTTGAACTTAGATGAAGCGGCAGATCTGGCCTGTACTACCGAGACCTGGATGGCTGCAGGGTGGCATAGTCCTCTCATCAATTTGCCCACCTGGCCAGTCCATCCAGCACCAAAAAAGAGTCGGGTCGGGGGAGCTGCCATCATCTATAAAAACACCTCAGAGGTTGTCAGGCTCTTTACCTTGAGGATCCTGGGCCTTGAGCCCCTCCATATGTCGTTGGGGAACAGGGATGGATTTGGGATGGTGCTGGTCTACTGTGTTTCCCTGCAATCCAGTACTTTCCTTTCTAGAGCTGGCAGACCATCTTGGCAGTGGCACTGAGGTCCTCCAGACTCCTTGTCCTGGGGGACTTCAATGATGAGGCCGAGACTGGGGCCACAGGTCCAGCTCTTGAGTTCTTGGAAACCATGCCTTCCTTGGACATGTCCCAATTCATTAACGCACCCCACTTGGCAGGTCACACACTAGACATGGTGTGCTCTACTGGACAGGGAAAGTGATCTGAAGGTGATCAAATTGGTATCAGTCCCCTTGTCATGGTCAGACCACCACCTGATAAAATGCAATCTCTCAGTGGCACTCCCCTTCTGAGGGGAGCTGGGACCTATTAAGATGGTCCCAACCCTGCAGGCTATTGGATCCTGTTGGCTTCCAAGATGCAATTTGGGGGATATACCGGCTGATCTAATTGGCACTCATGTTGAAGCTCTGGTGGATGGATGGCATGGTACTGCCACTAGGGCAGCTGACACGATCACTCCTAAATGCCCCCTCCATTGCCAAGCCTGTCCAGCTGCTTGGTATAACCAGCAGGTAGGGGTGTTGAAGTAAAATAGGAGGTGGCTAGAGAGCATTTGGAGACAGGCCCCGATGGTATCCAATTTAAAAGCTGCAAAAATCACGTCTAACTTCTATTTAGCTAAAGTGAAGGCTACAAGAATATCTTACTTCACCTTCCAGATAAGCGAAGCCCGAGACCATCAAGCCAAACTCATACTGTACATGATTTATCCGGGGTTGCTCACAATGATAGGCCTCCCAGTAGTATGTCCTGTGACTAATTTGCAGTCTTCTTTAAACAAAAAGTGCAGGCCATCCACTGGGACCTGGCTCTCTCTATCAGAAGATCGAGATGAGATGTCCACTGCACCATCTTGCCCGATGATTCTAACACAGTTTCAGCCTATGATGTTAGCTGAGGTTGATAAAAGTGCTTGATCGTTGCAGGGCCACCAATTCTTCACTAGACTTATGCCCAGCCTGGCTCTTGAAAGCAGCCAGACCTTTAACAACATAATGGGCAATATTACCAAAGGGTCTCTCCTTGAAGGCAGGGTCCCCCTTTCCCTCAAGGAGACACTCATTAAACTGATCCATAAAAAGCCCAATTTGGCAGCAGATGATATTAACTTTTGACCTGTTGCCAATGCCTTTTATAATCAAGTTAGTGGAAAGAGTGATGGCCGACCAACTTCAGGCACCTCTGGAGGAAACCAACACCCTCGATCCATTCCAGTCCGGGTTCAGGCTGCGTCATGGCATGGAGCCGGCATTGATTGCCCTGCAAGATGACCTTCTGAGGGAGGCCGATAAGGGCAAAACATCCTTGTTGGTCCTCCTCGACCTGTCAGCAGTCTTTGACACTGTCGATTACGGTATTCTCCTGAACAGGCTCTCTGGGTTGGGAACTGGAGGTCAGGTTTTAGCCTGGCTCTGGTCCTTCCTGGGGGACTGTCCCCGGAGAGTACAGTTTGGGGAAATGATGCTGTCCACTCTGTAGATTTTCAATTGTGGAGTCCCACAGGAGTCAATAATCTCCCCAACGCTATTTAATATCTATATGAGGCCACTGCAGGTGATCATCAGGGGTTTTGGAGCTTCGTGTCACTAATATGCAGATGGCACCCAGCTCTATCTCTCCTTACATCCCTCTGCAGAGAATGTCATCCTGTCCTTTGAGCACTGCATGGATGCTGTGCTGGGGTGGATGTGGGATAATAGATTGGGGCTGAATCTGGGCAAGACAGAAATCCTGCAGATGGGTGTCCCTAGTGTTTGCAGTCTGGGTATTTCCCTTTCCTTTTGGGGGGGGGGTGCTACTCTTTCTGCAAAGGATGAGTTGTGCAGCTTGGACATACTTTTGAACCCAGCACTGTCAGTGGAACATCAGATAGCATCTGTGCTCTGTTCTGCCTATATCCATCTAAGGCGGATTGCCCAGCTGCATCCGTACCTTGACACTGGGTCCCTCACCACGCTGGTTCATGCACTGGTAGTCTCAAGATTAGACTACTATAATGTTCTCTATGTGGGGCTGCCCTTGTGGTTGTTACGGAGACTCCAGCAGGTCCAGAACTTGGCAGCCAGATTGTTGAGTGGGGTAAGGAGATACCAACGTATTTCTCCTACCCTGGCCACCCTGCACTGGTTACCTGTTTGCTTCCGTACCAGCTTCAAGGTGATGGTGTTAACATATAAGGCCCTAAATGGTTTAGGACCTCAATATCTGGCAGAATGCCTCCTTCCAATTAGATCTGCCCATCCTGTAAGATCTTCTCAGGCCGGGCGATTGAAAGTCCTGACCCCAAGAGAGGCCCAAAAAATGACGACCAGAAATTGGGCCTTCTCGGCATTTGCTTTGCAACTATGGAACAGTCTCCCCCCTGAAATTCACCTGGCCCCTTCATTGGGAACCTTCAAAAGTTAATTGAAAATGTAGTTATTTAGACAGGCTTTCCTGGATCTTGAAACATCCTGATACAATAGTGCTTTTAATAATTAACATTCAGCTCTCCACCACGCTTTTATTATGTTATTTCTTAGTATAATTTGTTTTAGCAACTTTTATATTTTGTTCGATCGTTATTATTTGTTTTTTATGTTATTGTTTTATTATTGTTTTTGTAAACTGCCCAGAGTGGCTTTGGCAACCAGATGGGCAATATAAAAATGAAATGAATGAATGAATGAATGAATGAATGAATGAAAACAAGGAGATAACAGGATGTTTTGTGAATCTTAGGGTTTGCAAAAATGTTTTTTTGGGGAAAAAACCAAGATACTGGAAAAATCTGCAACCAGAACATTGTGTACGGAACAACTTGAGGGCACAGAAGGGTGGGTCAGTATTGGTGGGATGTGAAATGGAAAGACAAGGGAGAGGAGGGAAAGAAATATAATATTTGGAAAGGCATAGCTCATAGGGAACACAGAGCAGGAATACTCCACATTTTGTTGCAAGTTTCACTAGTAAATACTAGTGTACCAGTTATGTCAATTCTCCATGTGCCAATCCTTATATATCCCCAACAGCATACTTCCACACGTACTGTATGAGGAAGGGATTAGCAGGCTTGAGGCGTTACAAATTTAAAACTTCACTCCTTAAAACATCCCCAAAGGATGAATGCCAACTATTTATTAGAGAAGGGAGAAAACTGGAAAGGGAAAACAGAATAAGATGAAATTCCAGCCAGCCTACCATGAAGAGAAGGAACCTAAAATGAAGCACCTTGTTAGGTCCCCATCTAATAAAACATATTAACTACTTGCCAAGTATGTTATGCTCCTCAGATTTATGAAGTTGTTCATTTGAAGGTCATTCAGTCTACCAGGAGTAGCAATAACAATGTCCACACCTTTGGTAACTACGCCGATTTGCCCCTTCCGATCTCCACCACCATATATGCAAATGCTAGAAAAAGTGTTTGTGCAATATTTAGCCATTGTAAGTTAACATTTTACCAACATACTACGGACTATTTTGATTTTTTACATTGAAACATAGACTTCTTAAAAGCCTTAAACAATCTAGCCCCCCCACCTAAACAAGAGTAAAGAGCAGCAAAATTGTAACAATCATTATTAAAAAGAGTTAAAAACCCGCAAAAGTAACTACTGCAATATCTGCTTGGATTTACATTTATGACTACTAACAGCTCTCCCTATCCTGAGGCTCCCAAAGGCTTGCCAGGGCAAAAGCCCCAGGAAGCCTCAGAAACTGAAATGGGAGGATAGGAAGCTTTACATTAATTTAAATTAATTATTCCCAGCAACCTGTTTCAGCTAATTCCTGTGGAACAGCACCAACAGTATACTGCCCAATGAACAGATGAAAAAACAGTGTTGCTGTAGGGAAAACAGTATCATCCACATAGGAGAACTGGAAATGTAAACTTGTGAAGGAAAAAAAATTAGCATCCTAGATGGAAAGGAACACTAGAACACCCCATTTGACCCAATGGCCTTCCCCAAAACATGGTCCTTCCACTGAAGAGAATTAGTGCCTTATGGTAAACCCTAATGTGTCTTTCTCCTACAGTGGAGGTGGATATGTTTACCATGGAACACACCAAAGCTCCAGCTTCTGCCTGGGTCAAGTGCTGCCATATGCCACCAGAGAAGAGACTGTGCCCTGTTGCTTATCCATACTAAGTGCACCACTTGCTGTACAAGTCTACATCCAGATGCCTTTGCCAACTCAAAATGGCCCAACCAGTGGTGTTTAACAAATGAAGAAGACACCTTCCAAGTACCCATCCTGCAAATGTTTAGGGAGAGGGCACCCTGCAAATGTGTATTGGGGGCTGGTATGAAACCCAGCTGCATTTCTGGCAAAGTGTGCTGTAATCATTCTAGCAATAATATCAGCCCATCCGGTGGTTTTCAGAGACAAAGAAATACACCATCAACCTTGAGAATTATGAAGTAATCAGTAAGAATATGCTGTTAGGACTTCACTGAACTTTATCAAGATTCTATCAGTGTGCCTTTCCATTCATTATCACACCTGCACATGCTTGACTTCTATAGAAAGAGGATGGGACTTGCCCAGGTATGCAGATGTATTGCCCAGGCATGCAGGGAGCAAGATTTTGTTCTTCCTTGATTATACATGTGTGCATGGTTCTCACGTTGTTGGTATGTAAGAGCTCCATTCTTCCATGAATCAAGTGTAAGAACTGTCACAGCACCATCTGGGACTACCCTTAATTCCAAACAATGCACCCTGTGGTTGCTCTCTTAAACTGGCCACCTCTCCTGAACTATGATGGTGTCTAAAAGGGCACCATGAGGATGAAATCTGTCATTATTTGAATTGTGGACTGAAGTAAGAATGTCTTGCTCTGTTTCAGCACTTATTTTACCCAGCAGTGCAAGGATGCCTTCAACTCATAACATAAACCTTATTTTGTTTGCCATCTGTCTGTTAGGGAAGAAGGATCTATCACAATAGCCCAGAAAGATATGTTGCCCATGACACATTATTTTCACTTTCATGGCATTTGAAGGGCAGCTTGGGTCACATTGTCTGCTCCTTGATCCACTGCCCATATTGTATATATTTTTTCTACCATGTAGTTATGGAAAAAACTTTGCCTATATGAGTGTGTGTAATGGCCCCTGATGTTTGGACATTGTGTGGGATGAAGGGGGCTCTTTTTTAGGTTGATCAACAACATGTTAACGGTCCCACACACATGGGCGGCCATATGCTTGACCTAGTATTCTCCATTGAGTGTAGTGAGCGTGGTCCGATGGTGGCTGACCTCGTGTCAGTCCCCTTGTCATGGTCAGACCATCACCTGATAAAATGTAACCTCGCAATGGAGCTCCCACCCTGCAGGGAACAGGGACCTATTTTAATGGTCCACCCTCGAAGGTTACTGGATCCCATGAGAGGGATTCCAGCGGCACTGTCTGGCGCTCCTGTCAAAGCTCTGGTGGACAGCTGGTTTTCTGCCACTACTAGGGCTGTTGACACGATCGCACCCAAACGCCCTCAGGAGCAGAGCTCGGCCAGGACCCTGGTATACCCAGGATCTACGAGCAATGAAGCGAATAAGGAGACGGCTAGAGTGCGTGTGGAGAAGAAAACCGACGGATTACAACAAAATTGCTGTCAGGATCGTAACTAACCATTACCCGGCTAAGGTAAAGGCTGCTAGAAGATCTTATATCGCTGACCGGATAAGCGAGGCTTCTAATCAGCAGGCGGAACTTTTCCATATAGTTCACGATCTATCCAGAATTGGCCTGGGATTACAACAAAATTGCTGTCAGGATCGTAACTAACCATTACCCGGCTAAGGTAAAGGCTGCTAGAAGATCTTATATCGCTGACCGGATAAGCGAGGCTTCTAATCAGCAGGCGGAACTTTTCCATATAGTTCACGATCTATCCAGAATTGGCCTGGATCTCACCTGGCCAATTTGCAGCATTTTTAAAATCTAAAGTGGAGGCCATCCGCCGTGATCTTTCTCCTTTTTAAAATACAATGGATCAAGCTGAGATGTCCAGCGCTCCGCCTTGCCCGGTAATTCTTGATTCCTTTCAGCCTGTGACGCCAGATTTGGTGGACAAGGCGCTTGATCGCTGTCGGGCCTCCACCTCTTCTCTCGACCCTTGCCCGGCCTGGCTAATCAAAGCAGCCAGGCCTGTAACAACAGAATGGGCCACTGCAATAATTAATTGGTGTCTCCAGGAGGGCAAGGTTCCCCTTGCCCTCAAGGAGACACTCATTAGGCCC